TGGGTATAAACTGAAACGGATACCAGACTCAGTTATGCTGAGTAGGCAATGTAGTTAGGTTAGTTAAAGTTCAAACTATGTGCAGTATAAATAGTTTCTTATCTGCACTAAATCATATAATCTGGTTTTCTCTTCCCTCAAATAGTTTATACAGTTTGCTTCTCAAAGTAGTAACAAGAGCACATTCAGATATTTAGAGACAGAAAGAGTCTTACTTTCAAAAGTTGAGAAAGCTTGGCAATTTCCTCTCTTGCATGAGCCAACTCCCTTTCTAAATGCTCCTAAGGAATAAGAATATAGTGCATATGAAAGGTAAGTCATAACTGTAGACACAAGCACACATATTTAAAATATAAGGAACTGTACCAAGAAAATGAAAGTGAGCAAGTGTTAACAACCCAACTAATGTCTGCAATTTATGAACAATAAAAAAAGATGCACTGATGTGTTTTGTACCTTGGATTCAATTTCAGCATAGTACTGCCCTAGAGCTGTCTGTAGATTTAAAAGTTCAATATTTTTAGCATCTATAGTGCTCATACAGTTTGTAAGCTTCATGTTCAGGTCATTAATGACTTCTCTAGACTTGAGAATTTCACTATTGTTAGCCATCTTCAGTTCCTCTTGACTTGCAAGTGCTTGCTTCAGAGTTCTCTCGAGATGAGATACTTGAGCTGTTAAATAAGTATTGCTATCACGTAGCTCTTCAATGATTTTGCTGTCTTCATCCATTTTATCTGATTCCTCAGATGCCTAGATAAATCAGCAAGGAAAAGAACATTGATGCAGAAATATGGATATAGTAAATATATCATGCATGCTCAGATTATGGAGAAAAAAAGCAGTTCAGTACATAGCAAAATTGTAAGTCAACAAATCAAACAAAAGTACACAATGAAAGCATCTAATCATGACCAAAGCTCATTTTATTAGGAAAATGTAGTTAACAAGTATCATTGTAAATGCGTATGTTTGCATGGTTTAGTTGTCTTTAGACCACTTAAAATATGCTTCGGACTGCATATTATTACTGAAAAGAAAATGTTGAAAGATCAATCAGACATCACCAATTAACATGGGTCAATATACATACAATAAATGTGTCTCATTCTAGATGTATGTTGAAGAAACACCATACTCTTAAGGTTCACAATAAAATAGAGTGAAGAGGAGCAATTGGGAAAATTGAATGACTGATTAACTTAATAGATTATGAGAAGAAAGGAGCTGACATGTATGGATACAAGAAAGGAGTTGGGCAGAACATAGATACAGGAAAAGTAGAAGTGATGGAGAATACCAAGTCTCTCACACTGAATATTATAATTTTATAGTTTAAATCTTTATCGTACACTGAGAGGGGACAATACGCCACCTAGGAGTGTTTTAGTTTCAGTTTCCAACACTGAAGTAAACTATATAGTCAAAGGTGTTTGGTCAGTTGGCAATGGTTCAAGCCAGGTCAAGTTTAACACAGGAAAATATATCTTACAAATATATTAATTATATAATTAATAGTTAATTAATGAGAAATGCAAAAGAGCCATCATTTGTCTCTTGAATGTCATGTTTACTCGTCATTGGTTCCACTATTGAAAATATAGACGAAGATATTAAAGTAAAAAAGAACAAAACCTTTTCCAGTAAATGTTGTTTGAGACGGTTCAATTCTTGTACTGCTTTGTCCCTGTCCCGCTGGGCTTCATTCAAATCTTTGCTTAGCTTGTCTAATGATCTTTCCATTTCTTCCTTTTCTGGAAAACTTTTGGAGTTATCTGGCATCTATTACCAAAAACCATTTGCCCAATCCCCAAAACGAAAAGAAAACGATTATTAGTAAGGATCTGAATACATAACAAGTAAAGTGCCTATTGCTATGAAGTTTTGGCTCACATCATCACTGACACTGCTTGAATCTTTTTCCTGAGTATGTGAAGCATCACGCATCATTTTATCTGTGAAAAACTTCCTGCTATTTTCAAGAGCAGCCTCAATTTCATTTTTTTCCATCTAATAACAAGGGGAATAGGATCATATTGGTGTGTTTCGGAAGCCAAATAATACAAAAATCATCATTATCAATTTTTGAGCAAAAAAATAGTAGCAACCTACACTGCAGTCAAATATGGTAAAACATAAATATACAAACCTTAAGAGTGGTGTTTTCCTTCTCTAAAGTTTTGATAAATCTTTTTAAGCTATCCACAGCCTCCCCTGCTTCATTTTCCCGTTTTGTCAACTCTAATTGTAGATGCTTTATTTCTGATACTTGTTCATTCAACTCGTTGTGTATTTTGTTCACTTCCATTGATTTCTTCAAAGCAATAACATATTACTAGTTAGATAACCAAAAGCTTTACAGCCCAATCCATGACAATGCAAATGTTTATCATTGATTCACCAAAAAGAATAATAAAAAGAAGATTTTGAAAAATTGATAAAAGCTATCCAGTTCTTTTTTAGTTTATGCCAACTTTATTTTCTATTTGAAGAGAAAGACAGAAAATTTCAATTTGGATTGTCATCTGAATTAATAACAGCAAGGCCATTTATTCTGTATCTTTTGTGGTAGAAAGAAAATTTATTTATGCTTTTGGTCCTTCTATTCATAGTTTGATATTAAATCTCAATTTGTGTTCATCAAAAGCCGATTTAGATACTGGAGATTTCTTTTAAAACATATATAGATCAGTATTTGGTGAGTTCATTGATCTTTTAACAGTAAACGATATGAAGGCCCAATTTGCAAAGTTATTTCTGAAGGCTAAAAACTTTATTGAGGTGCTTTAATCTTTAGTTCTCTAACTTTATCAGAGCATGTCTAGTAGTGAAAGGAAAAAGTATAGCAACAACACAATGACAAAAGTATCAATCACAAAAGGTTCCCAAAATATACATAATGAAATGTAACGGTAATTTCATGCATACATCATTTGCTTCATCTCCCAAAGCTGTTGTCAAGTTCGAAATCAATTCCATCATATTATATTACACATAATCAGCTAATATAACTCTCTTAAGTGTGACCAGGTAAATATGATGCAGCCAAGAACATGAAAATTCATATATCTACCTAATATAACTCACTTTGCTCTTTTCCAACTTTAACATTTTTTTAAGCTTTCCTCTTGAAAAGACTTGCTTTAATCTCTTGTTCCTCTGACATTATTTCAATAAGAAAGAATAGATGAGAAGAATATTTTTTTTTGAATTTATAGATTTTAGGAACTTAGGCCACTTCTACTTGTATGCCAGATAAAATTTAGGCTTCCAAAGCCATAACAAAAGTACCTTGGAATTATTTTGAGATGAATTTTGCCATATTGATCTCGTTCTTCCTCTAGTTCTAACTTCAACTTCTGCCTATATCTGAGGAATGTTGAACAGCTGCTGAGGTATTTCCATCAAGCGCAAGCTCCTAGAAGGCATTCCATCATACATCTGCTTGTCAATCAACTCATCACTAAAAATAAAATACAAAGCTATCAAATGTTATACATCAAAAACTATCAGGAAAATATGGGTGTTTGAAGTGCATTTTGTGTTCATTTAAAGACAGAGAAAAAAGAAGAAAGAGACAACAAATTATAGGCTAAGAATAACCCGTAAATATAACATATCTTCATACCTTTGCGAATTTCCTTGTAACATTTGAATGTTTGAATTCCATCTCACTTTGAATAGCATCAGATTTCTTTAAAGCAGACACAGTTCCATTGTTCATGCGCATTACGACTTTTCTTTGGGGCCGTTGCAAGTTGAACTTGTTCTGTCGATTAGGTGATTGATCTGTACTTCCCTGCACAAAAAGTAGTCAACATGAATCCTTAGTTATCTATTAAGATCAAAGCCACATCACACGAATACTATTAGCCATGTTACAACATAACAGTATCCCATACTTAGGAGAGGAACAAAGCACATATCACAAGCTTAATGATCACCATCTATAAAACACCAGATAGGTCTAGAGTCCGCACCAACCCACACTAGATAATCCTAAAACAAAAAAAAGTATATAAAAAAAAAAAAGTATAAAAAAATCATCAGGAAAATTCGTTTATTATTCTTCTGAATGAATGATAAATGTTTGACCAGATAGTTAATTTCAAATACTCATTTAATTAATGCCACTATCTAATCCTAAAAGTTGGACAAATCAATGATGCATATTTGCAATTCCATTTAGTCTGTTCCAAAAGTACTTTTTTCATAATAAAAGATACAACCCTCTCCAAAAGTATTTTTTAAACACTTTAAAAATAATTTTTGAAATGGCTTATTTAAAAAATGCACCGGACTTTATATTATAAACCTGCTTCTTAAAAAAATAAAGAGAAAACCCATAACTATTAAAGATGCTTCTCAATACCTTTGTGTTTTATTATTTAAAGAAAAAGAAAAAAAAAAAAAAAAAACAAAAAAGTCCCTCGCAAGAAAATCCTTTATCTCATTCTTTATAAGGGTAAAATTCTTGATGAAATTCAAACTTTAAACAGAGGGGGCCCCAAAAAAGGAAACAAGTCATCTTTCCATCTTTCCCTACCAAAATGAGCTGTAAACAACCCTAAGAAAAAAAACAGTTGCAAGGCTTTTAGCTAAGCTTGGTCCCCATTAAATAATAAGCAAAAGACCTTATCTCAAAGCAGCCAATTATCTCAAATTAAATTAAGGGGGGTTGAGCCAGTGGGAGGGGTGAAACATATAAAAACAAAACAAAAATCAATTCTTTTGGTGGACACCAAGCATTTTCATATGGTTATGACATTACCCGGTTGCCCACCTCATAATTCTATCCAACAACTACTAGTCATTAAACAAGAAAGTTATGTTCAGAATAGGTTTGCAGTATACCTAGAATCGCAAAAAAACCATTGAATCACAACTGCAATTTGAGAAATGAGAAATGGCCACGGCCAGTCAAACATTCACTCATTGCTAATTAAATTTGCAACAGATAACCAAGCAACAAATTTAATGAAGGACCTCCAGAACAGGTTGAGATACCTTGACTGTATAAAGTTCCATTTGTAGATACTCCAGAACCTTCAATTCTGGAGACACGCAGAGCAGCATTTGTAGCCTCTAAATTCTGCTTTAGTGAGCCATTTTCTTTATTCAATTTAACAATGTGATCCTGAAAAGGAAATCATGGGGATGGTTGATTTTATCGAAGGCCACAGGTGCAAACAATGAATTAATAGTTAAGATAAATTGATAGGTGATTATAATGATGAATAGACATGAATGATTTCATATATAGCACACCTTCTCACCTATGACCTTGAGGCATGAAAAATGCACAAGCCCACCCAGGAAAAAATGCAACAAGGATTGAACTCTAGATCACATGGTTATAGAGGATCTAATACTATGTCATAAACCATCTATCTAAAAATCTATGAAGTCCCGATACTCTGAAAATACAAAAATATCAATGTCTGAAACATATCCAATACTGATATGTGTTTGACACATCACATATATCTACATACTATCCAAAAAGTATCCATTCATTTTATTTTATTTTTTTAAATAAACTCCCTGATATGGCTCCCTTACTGCCTAGATATGATACAGCTAGGCACTCAGCTCCGTAAGAAATGTAGCTTTTATTGTTATAAGGCAGACAATAATATCTGTTGTTCTAAAGGAGCATTTCTCTTCCAAATGACAAGTCAGAGCATGTTATCTATCTTCTTCCTAACAACTATGTAATTATTCTATAGAGCCAAAACTTCTTTTGGATGGAAAATTGATTGTTTCAATGACACTCTAACTTGGGTAGGGAAATAGTATATTTTTCCTGACACAGTAAAAGAAATATATTATGATATGGGTGAAGGAAAGGTGTGTAACTATGCTTATTTGTCAGGACCTTGAGTATCTTTTTTGGAAAAATGTAATCATTTATTGACTATTGATATATTTATCTATTAATGAGCAATTGGTAATATTAATGTTGCTCAAAAAATAGTCTATTCATGTAATATACATATATAACCTTCTTGCTAATTTATCTTGACCATATCATGTGTTTAATTTTTAAAAATTTCTTGTATCCATATCATATTATGTACCTAGGCCTCATGCCCCAAAAGTTTAATCGTTTGGGTGAGAGCACATTATTCATTCTATAACCGATAAATTTAAAACACCCTAAGTTGCACAAAACCAACAATAGTCCTTCAAAACGTATATAAGATTACCCAGTTAAACAGATTAAACCCAAAAAGTTTCTGTATTAAAAAACTGTCTCATCAGACCCCAAGTGCACAATTATGTAGCTTCAAGTGAACTGATGAAAACAAAAATCTACAAATTAAATGTAAATTAATTACATATATTCCAGAAAGTAATGATCGTACCTCTTTTTCTTTTAACAGAGCTGCATAATTAACTGATAATGCTTTAATCTCTGCCTCAGATGCTTGAAGTTTCTTGATTTCTGCTTTGTACTGTTCTATCTACAAATAGTACACCAAATAATAAAATTACATCTTTTCCTTTTGGGTTATAAAATGGCATCTTATTTAACCATCAACTTCTAAAGTAAGGGGGGATTCAAGGGGCAAAAGAAGTTATAAACATTCACATATTTAGACACTACAATTTCAAGCATGGAAACATATTTTCACTAATTAACCTACTAAATTTCGTGAAAAGTAAGCATAACAATTAAATCTTAACCAGTTGGTGCCAGTCTAACCACAACACGATTTTGATGACAAAATCCTGTTTTGATTGGATTCGGGTTTTCCCCACTTTTCTAACATCCAACACAACTTTGATGTATAACCCGATTTCATTGACTTCAAGTTTCTCCCCCTCCCTAGTGATAGCAAGGGTGGGAGAGTCAAACCCATTCCAGACCTACTAATGCCTGTGTGAAATAATGGCAAGTTAATGATGTTATGGAGAGATAGAAAAATCTCAGTAACTTCCGATAAGTTGGAAAAGCAAAAAGGTTATTTTTTATTTTCAATCAAAATATAGTAAACTAAGGGAATCTTCATATCTTTGAGGTACACGGAACTTGATAAATAAGCATTATGTAAACTCAAGTTAGTTTCATAATGCACATTTGTA